TATCCTGAGGAATTATATGCGGTGTGATGACACTACTTGTGGAATGAATGAGACTATGGCTATGTTGCGAGAATATGTTTTCCATTGATTGACTGTTCATGACTGATTCATACCAAATTTGGGACAAAGATGCACATAGTATCAATGTGTAAAGGAAGGCGAGTGATGCTTTTTTGCTGTGGTTTCACATTGCCTCCAATGCTTCCCACTGGCACCAGGTTATCTTCAGCTGATTCATCCCTTGAGAGTTGATCAATTCCTCTCATCCCATAATTTCCTGGGTCCTCTGAAATGTTAATTGAAGCTTCAGTTTTACATCTCCAGGACCATTCCTAGGTTGAGTTGTTCTAGTCATGATTGGGTAGGTAACTGGTGTTGTAGCTGTGGTGTACCATGTCACTTTCAGGAAGGTGTATACTTCAAAATGTCCTTCTTCAGAAATTTCATGCAAACACTGCTTCCTGAAATCACAAGGCACTGCCCCCTTTTTCCTGAGATAGGGGCCAAGCCATTGTTGAACATCAGGTAAGATATGATATCTTACAAGTTCTAAGTCAGACCTTGAAGTGTGCCCCTGTGTAAGTATCGTGTAGAGCTGAGTAAAATAGATATCTATTCGGTTTGTGTTTGGGTTGATTTCCTGATCAAGAGATGTTATTGGCAAACTCTCGAAAATTGGCAGAGAAATTGCGACATCATGATTGATGAACCATATGTACCAGCTTACTCAAAATGTTTGGTGATATTGTTATGTGTTAGGTATAGACTTAATGGTGTTTTAGTTTTAATTGTTGACCCTAATTGGATTTGAAAGTCATCTGATCATCAATCTTCAGTCTATCAATCAAACTAAAACCAACCAACTGATTACATCTCAATTCTTATCATAATAGCTTTCAATTCAAACTAATCATCAGCTTTACTATCTCAATCATGAACCCAGAGTGTAAGTCAAACGATTTCTATCCCAGCGTCGATTGATTCGGTTTAACTTATCAAATTATCATTCATTTTACCTTATATTTGATTTTTAAAGACGATTTCTTGGTATGATACAATTCCCTCGTTGTTCAACCTTTTTCAATTTCCAATCACTAATGACCAAAAAACATCAATTCATCCCTTTCACCTTACCCCCGAACCTCTTATCGATCAATCTTTTAATCGGGTTTTAGTTCAGTAAGTCTTGATTAGAATCGATCTAACTCTTTTACAATCGATTCGCGTTCGTCTTTGCTGACGTTGCTCCTAACTTGTTTTTAGAACTTTTGTTAATTGGTGACTCTGGAGTAGGAAAATCCTGTCTTCTCTTGAGATTCGCTGGTAAGATAGATTTATTTTCAACCTGATATTCAAATACGGGTTCAAAGTCTTGAGTCCTTCTTTGATGTGATTTTAGATGATACATACACTGAGAGTTACATCTCTACTATCGGTAAGTGGTGGTTTTGTTTCTGTGTTAGATTGATTTCATTTAATCGGTTTGATTTCTATTTGCGTTGAATAGGAGTCGATTTCAAGATTCGTACAATCGAGTTAGAAGGCAAGGTTGTCAAACTACAGATCGTAAGCAGATTGTCCTTGAACCCGTCTATGATTGATTTACTAGACGATTGATATCGATCCTAACTTCACCAAACCAGTGGGATACTGCAGGTCAAGAACGATTCCGAACGATCACTTCATCTTACTATCGAGGTGCCCATGGTATCATTGTAGTCTATGATGTTACTGATCAAGATACCTTTACGAATGTAAAACAATGGTTACAAGAAATCGATCGATATGCTTGTGAAGGTGTTAACAAATTATTAGTAGGAAACAAGAGTGATTTAACTCAAAAGAAAGTCGTTGAATATACAGTTGCAAAGGATTTTGCAGATCAATTATCAATTGTAAGTGACCATTGAAAAAGTTCTTAATTGGTAAAGAAGAACGACTTTCTTATCTTTTTGGTTTTAACTGATTTATTCTTTAATTTCTTGATAGCCTTTCCTTGAAACTTCTGCTAAGAATTCAACTAATGTTGAACAAGCATTCTTGACGATGGCCAAACAAATCAAAGATCGGTAAGTTTTTCATCTACACTAATCATCGTCTTATATTCCAAACTGATCCAACTTTTCGAAACCTCTCTGTAAACTAACAACCATAATCTAGAACTGGGTCTGCACCTGTCAATGCTACATCTAACAAAGCTACATTGAAAGTAGGATCTAGTCAGAACGTTCAACAACCACAATCTAGTGGTTGTTGTTAAAGTTAAGACGTAATCACTTTTATTTGGGAATTAAGATGATGATTGGATTTGTTCTGTGTTTGTTTGTTTTTGAAAATCGGGCGAAAGGATTCAATTGTTGAATTTTTATATTTTCTTTTTGTTGAGTTTGACCTAGGTATAATTGATGTTTCAAATCCACTTTCTACTTTTTTTCTTTTTCTTTTTTTCCTTTTTCCTTCTTCTTCTTTGTTTTGATGTATCAATCCTAGAAGTCTACTTCTACAAACTTCTTTTGTTTTCTTTTTTTTTCATGATGATTGTTGATCTTTTTTTTCTTTTTCTTTTCAGTGTGTTGAGTTGATAAGAATGATTTCTAACTTTTTGAGGGAAAAAACGTATTTCAAATATCTTTATGAGTATACATACAAGATATACTTCTCCTGAGGATAAATGTGGGTTTTCTTTTGCATGTGGATTTCAAGTTCTTTGGCTTCTTTGGAGGGGTGTTTTCACATCTATCCAAGAAACTTGATTTTGTACATTGCTTTGGGGTATTCGTCTTGCAATGATGAGGGATGATGGAAGTCAAAGATGTTCTGGCTTATTTCAAGACTACATAGGTCTTTGGCGCCAAGCCGCCGCATAGCTCTGGGATGTGCCATAGGCTAGGCTTGTCGAAGACACTTCATGCTACTAGCATCACTTCCGCCTATCTTACTAATACAGGCCATCAAAAATCCCTGAATGTCTCCCTCAGGTTTGAAGATCAAACAATTGTTCTCCTTTACTGTCTGCCTCTCTATGTCAAACTTCACTCACCGCCCAAGCCCATATAAGCAGCGCAAATGAGATTCAAAAGAATGTTTATTGAGCTAGATAGGGTAAAGAACGAGAATGGAAAGATTAGCAAAATGTTGTAAGAAAACACGAGAGAAGTGCGTATAAAGTTCAGTTCACGTTCTCGTGGTCCAGTTGCAGGAGCAGCATCTCCAATTTTGTTGCGTTTTATCATTACCGCCGTAGAAGTCAAAACCTACAAGGGGTAGTGCGGGTGTAGACACGGCTCAGGTGTAGCTTCAGGCAAACACGACGATCAAGATGAAGCGGAATCTTGTGCAGGGGTCAGGAAGCCTGTCAGCTTTGTTCTTATCTGAGTTCCCTTCGAAGCCGAAACTGTATCTTTGAAAATGTGGTTTTGAAAAAAGGATTGTTCAGGCAGAGGCCACGTGATGCGCAGTGACTGTGCCATGCTACAATGTGTAATGTGTACTGAAAGCGCTTGCAAGATTTTTTTTGCTGAAGCCTCGCCAGAAGCCTTCAACCTCCCAAACCACCACATAAAACATTCATCATGGTCAGTCTTTTTCATTTCATCCTTCCAAATCATGTTGCCAGGCAGACTCACATTTTGTGTTTTTGAATTGGTTTGAAATTTCAGAAAATCAAGGTACTTGCACGCTCGCTCGATAATCATCAACCCCAGTCTCATGGCGCTCCGGCTCCAATTCATAAAAACCTCGATCCTTCTCTTCACCCTCATGCACGTTCAAGAGAATACACACGAGCTGTGACAGCTTCGAAATTGAATAGGATGTTTGCCAAACCATTTATCGGTCAATTAGATGGACATCGAGATGGGATTTACGTTATGGGAAAAGATCCACTCAAGTTAACTCAAGTTGTTTCAGGAGCTGCTGATGGTGAAGTTAGAGTTTGGGATCTCGGAACAAGAGCTTGTACAATTAGTCTTACTGAAGCACATCGTGGAAGGGTGACTGGTGTGACATTCCTACCTGCTAAATTCCAAGGCGAGGGTCGATCACGAACTTATACCGATAAGCCCGACCAACTTATCGCTTCTTCTTCGAGATATAAATTGGACCCGGCTGGTCTTTTGGATGAAGATGAAGGTATCGATGAAGATGAACTTGTTCGTCGAAGAGAATTGGAAGAGGAAGAAGAGGCTGAGTCAAGGACTAGTAGACTAGGTAGTAGGAAGGTCTTGACATGTGGGATTGATAAGGTTGTGAAGATGTGGGATTTAGGTCCAAGGAATGACCCAGGTGCTGACCGGCTGGTGAATACCTATCAAGGAAAACATGGGTTTAACGATATTGATCATCATCATACTGAGCCAGTCTTTGTGACGGCCAGTGACAAGCTACATATTTGGGATGTGACCAAGTAAGTTTTTTCCTTATCATCTGTAGAAGATAGCCCGGCAAACCTGTGTAGATTCATAATAACATGTTACTCTGCTAACCTCACTTTCAATCTTCAGGTCTTCTCCCATATCCGACCTTTCTTGGAATTCCGCTCGTTCCGGTGCCAATCAGTCCAAATCAGCTGATAACTATTCAGGAGAACAAATTGCGTGAGTTCCCTGGCTTTCTGGTCAGCTGATGATGACTCAGGCGGATTGCTGACTCTTTCCACTACATCGGATCAGCTGTGTCACATTCTCACCCTCAGAGCACAATGTCTTAGCTTCTGCAGGATCATCATCAGACCGATCCATATGCCTCTATGACATGCGCTCCAACAAGGCGCTTGGCCGATTGATCATGCAGATGCGAATGAATTGTTTGCGATTCAATCCTCAACAGCCTTCCGTGTTACTTGCAGCTGGGGAAGACCATCAGCTTTACACATTCGACATCCGGTATATGAAATCTGCTACTCAAGTTTTCAAAGACCATGTAGGACCGTGAGTTGGTTCACTTGAACAAGTCTTACCAAAATCCGTGTCTCATTCTATAAATCTTCTTTTGCGTAGCGTGATGTCCTGTGACTGGTCACCTACCGGCCAAGGATTTATCTCAGGCTCTTATGATCGTACATTGCGCATTTGGTCAACTTCTGATACGACTTTCCATCGCAAAGGAAGATCAATCGACGTTTATCATACCAAACGAATGCAACGTGTCTTTTCGTCCATTTTCACTCTCGATGGTAAATTTTCCCTTACTGGTAGTGATGATGGATCTATTCGAATATGGAAATCGACTGCAGCTGAGGGTCTTGGTGTGAAGAGTGGACGAGAGATGGCAAGTAAAGAATATAGAGACGAACTTCGACAGAAGTGGAACGCAGTTGAAGGAGTAGGAAAATTAGAAAGGTACATGAATCATCTCTCCCAAATCGATATTGTATCAAACTCAGTTACTGACACGATTTTTCATCATTGCTATAGACAAAGATACCTTCCAAAACCTATTTATCATGCACAAAAATTACGAACAGAGATGTTGGAAGCCAGAGCAAAGAAAGAAGACAATCGAAATGCACATCGAAAGCGAAAAAGAGAAGGAGAAAGTACAGAAAAACCAAAGAAAGAAAGACAAAAAGGTTTACTTGCTCTTCAATCTTGAGATTTCTGTTCTTTTTTTCTATATCTATAATATCTTCGTAGATCTTTTTGTTTTGAAATCTTAAAGAACAAGAGCTTGTAGTTTTACTTTTTTTGAGATGGATACATGGTGTGGGTTTCATTTCGGAGCTTTGGTCCGTATCTCAGTTGATCATCGATACTTCTACTGTCAAGTGACTAGGAAAGCAATCTATGGCATAGGTAAAGACCCAAATATCTTATGAAGCTAGTGAAATCGTCGTGGTTTTGACGTGCTAGCTTTTCCTCGTGCGAGTGATCAGAGTAAAGGTTGATGGTATCAGCAGGTGGGGTCGTTAGTTTCCAAAGGGAACTATGTAGTACAATTCCTGTGTAGTCAAAAAATCTACTACCACGATAGGACCCTCTTTCCGGCTCGAGAAGCTCACTTTTCTGATCATCTACAGATTATCCATCATCATCATGGACGCGCATATGTATGTGAAACGTTTCGTACATCTATATGAGGTGTCTCAATCTAAAGAGGATCTGACAAACACCCTTGAAACGGTCATGCTGCATGAAGGACAGTGATGTACGCAGCTTTCCTCGAGCTTGAAGATAGAATTCACTGACGACTTGCTCAAGTTTTGCGGGCCAACTTCGGCAAGCTTTGTCAAATTGACTGTGCCTGGATTTCAGCTGACCCTGTATCACTTGGCCTTTGACTTGTTTGAATGTCTGTTCCCTCTTTCTCGGCCTTCAAAGTTACTGATACATGCCGTTGCAGCTTCATATGATACTTGAACGTGCGAACAAAAATCGAGATCACTTGCCTATATTATTTGTGACCCGTGTTGATTTTGATGCTCTCATCAAAGAATTCGACTCATTTGAAAATGCCTTCAAAAAAGATGCTGATCATTTTGGCATATTTTGGAGCTCTTCCATTTATTTTTGCACCACTTCCAATGGAAACGAGTCATCAGGCGGACTTGAAAGAGGCCGGTTTAACATTGAGGCTTGCGATTCCAGGTAGCGGAGAGAAGCATCCAATCATCGATACATACTTGCAAGGAATTCCATCCAGAGAATTGTATGACACGAAATCCGTCATAGCGAAATGTGGAACGGATGAATCATCCTTACCTAAAGCTACGACACGCACACCTCACCATTTGACTTCGACTGACAACCTCGATTTGGAGCTAACTCTTACGCCCGGAAGAAGGAGAAAAAATGTCGACTCAAACGCTGCAAGAAAGAGAGTTTGCTCTCATACAAAGAATTTCAGTCTGGACAACGTGATCCATTCTGCCAGGCTGGAGAAGATCAGCACACAACCTGATCCTAGTCAGTTGATGAACAGTCCGGAAATGCAACAACGTACCAATCCCATGGAGATAGCGCATCAAGACTCCTCAGGAGCACCATGGCTTACCCTCGGACGGGGGATGTCAGTTCATCCAGATGATTGGGCGCATAGCCCAGGTAGATTGCAATCAACTCAAGATATCCTAAATAAGATGGCACGTAATTATGCCATAAGATCATGGCTCACGCTTGGACATCAACCTCCTGCTTTAGGTAATTAGATGTGTATATTTCTAGAGTTTCACAATGTCCTGAATCTATTTCCAAAGTTTAACAAGCTGATGGGAGAAATTATGTGCTTTCAGATACAAGGAATGAACAACATCAGATATCTGATGCAAAAGCACCTGTCAGAGCAAATAGGAGAAGGTGGAGTGAAGCAAATCCAAATAGAATCTCAAGATCAACTTTGACAGATTCTTCAAAAATCTCTTTGCATCACAGCAATGTAGATCACAGAGAAGTACAACCAGGAATAAGTGAAGGATATACACACAGGAAGTTCAATGCTTTGGATCACAATGGGCCAAGTGTGCAATGGAGTAAACCTGATTCACAAGATCCTTCCTTCAAACCAATAAGGCTTAATCAAGCTTCCAGTCTCTCAAGACCTGAGAAACTTAGTCTGGTATCTAGGACTAATTCTAAGGACAAAGGCACCATCACAGGGAAGAGTTTGGAAGGGAGGGATTTAATGGAGCCAGCAACCCAGTCATTACATATGACTTTTGACAAAAATAGAATGTTGGAGCCTAGATATGGAGATGACTTTGAATACCAAAGATACTTGATCAAGACATTAAGAGAACCACTTTCAGAAGAAATATCCCGAGGCCTTGTGAGGAAAGTTCAAGCTATTGGACTGCAACAGAAGGCATTATTGGACAAACACAACATTGGGATCAGTGACTGGTTTGCTAGATTAAGAACTGATGCATCTATTCATTCAAGAGAAATTCAAGGGTCATCACAGACTTTGCAAGTGAAAGACACAAGGTTTAGTGGAGCAATCAGTGTGGCTGAGACTGGGGTAGCCACCTGCTTCCTTGGGTTATTGTATGTCTTCCATGGAGATGTTATGGACAGACTTGGGGGTTTTCGGCGACGAGGGTCAAGGGAGTTCTGGTGAGGATTTGTATCTATTACCAGTCTTCCTATGTGGATTGTCGGATGAGGGAAAATCTGTACAGGCAATGTATCTACAACTATAAGATGGTTCTCGAGCTTGTGACATGTAATGTGAATATGTCACTCAAGTGAAATAGAACCAGTTCATAACATTATCCCCCCTTTAATGCCCAAGCTTCCTCTTGCAAGCTCTGCATTCTTTCCACGGGCTGCGTTAAAAAACCCAGTGGGAAAAAGCATAGCCCTCTCACTTCTTCCGCCTTCTCCTTTTGTACTTATTTGTTGCGTCGGGATATTTTAAATTAAACTCATTAACTAAATCTTGACTATTCTTGAGGTTGATTTCGGGTTCCCATGAATTGTTTTCCTTGCCAAATCCTTTCCAACTCACAAAGTATTCCTTCTTGTTGTACCTTCTTCTACAATCTAGTATCTCGTTGACTTCCCATTCTTCTTCATCCTGTATTATGATTGGTTCGACTGGGGGTTGTTTTCGTTGATGTATTGTATCCGGGTTATGTTTCCTGAGTACAGAGACATGAAATACAGGATGGACGCTTTTCATGGAAAGAGGGAGATTCAATTTATAAGTAGAATTTGATATCTTTTGGATAATGAAGAAAGGACCTAGCCATCTATTTTCTAATTTTGGGCTTGGCCTAGTTGTCGAAATGTTTCGTCCGTTCAACCAGACTTGGTCTCCTACTTCCCATCTTGGTGTTTGTTGTACTCTTTTGTCAAATTGTTCTTTCATCTTCTCTTGAGTTAATTCTAAACATTGATTTAATTCAGATTGCACTTCGGCGAGTGTTTGCATCCTCTTCTCTACTGCTGGCACACACTGTTCAGCTGATGGTACTTTGTTGAATGATGGGTTAAATCCATAGTTAGCTTTAAACGGTGAAATGCCCGTGGATTCATGGTCTTTGTTGTTATACGAGAACTCAGCTGTGGGCAGTAGACTTTCCCAATCGTCTTGTCGATATTTAACGAAATGTCGTAAATATTGTTCGATTACTTTATTGACGATCTCGCTTTGACCGTCTGTACGTGGGTGGAAAGCGGTTGACGGGTGAAGGCGTATACCTAGGCGTTTGTCAATTTCTTCCGTGATCTGTGAAATGAAAATACTACCCCTATCTGAGATTATCGTCTTGGGAGTTCCATGAAGCTTCCATACGTTCTTCATCATGAGATCTGCTAGGTCTTCAGCCGACATTGATTCAGTACAAGCAATGAAATGACTCATTTTCGTTAATCTATCCACCACGGTTAATATGCTGTCGTAGCCGTTTGATGCAGGGAGGCCGGTGATAAGGTCATATGAGATATCCGTCCACAGGCCAGCCGGTATCGGTAATGGCTCCAGAGTCCCAAAGGGTTTCTGTGTGGTTGATTTAACCCTTAGACAAGAGTCACAACCGTCCACGTACCTGTTGACGTACGCTTTCTGAGATGGCCAGATGAAGCTTCTCCTGACCAATCCGAGAGTCTTTGCTCGACCTGGGTGGCCCGCAAGCAATGAGTCGTGTCTGCTTCTTAGTATTGAGTATTTGATGTCGTCGACGTCAGGTACCTCTATTCTACCTTGGTTGTAGAGGATACCATCTTGTACTTTGTAATGCTTCAAAGCTGCTTTCGTCTTGGCTGATATCGGGTTCAAGGTTGCGTTCATCAGTTCCCCTATCCTGTCACACTCTTTGCTTGCGTCTCTGATTCGTTGTATAATTTGATCATCCGTAGGAATGTCCGGTGCCTTAGTGTCAGTTTCAGCGATGCCCAATACATCCACCTCAAACCAGTGCTCAGAATTGTCGAGTGCAACCACTTCATCTTCGAAGAACCCCTCTACGCTAGCAAGCTCGACCGGGAACGTGTCTGGGCCGATGTTTTCGGGTCTTAACAACTGGCCAAAGGTCAATTTTTCCTCGTTAGTAGGCGCCAGGTCCGGTCTTCTAGATAAGGCATCTGGTTTGGTAGCTTTACTGCCGGGTCGGAATTTAATCACGAAATCGAAACAGCCCAGTGTCTCCGCCCATCGAGCCTGTCTGCGGGTAAGCTGCTTGGTTGTCATGAAAGACTCCAGGTTACGATGGTCCGTGTAGACTATCACATCTAGGCGGTTGGGGTTTCCCTCCAGGTAGTGGCGCCACTCTTTGAAAGACGCGACAATCGCCAGTAGTTCCTTATCAAAGATCTCGTAGTTCCTTTCAGCTTGGACTAGTGATCTGGACAGGTAAGCTACTGGGTGGAGTTCTCCATCGTCCTCGCTGCGTTGTGATAGCACTGCTCCTAATGCAAAATCGGAGCAGTCACATTCCAGAGTAAACGGCTTGTATGGATCGGCTATCTTCAGTACGGGTGCGGTGGTGAAGGAGGTCTTCAGGCTCTCAAAGGCTTTTTCGCATTTTTCATCCCAGACATAGTGCGCGTTGAGCTTGGTCAGATTATGAAGTGGTCTTGTGGTTCTTGAAAATTGGTCGATGAAACGTCGGTAAAAATTGGCGAATCCAATGAAGCGTTGGAGTTCAGATACTGATTGGGGTGCTGGCCATTCTTTGACGGCTTTCACTTTCGTCGGGTCCATTCTGATTTTATTCTTAGAGATAATAAGGCCAAGGTATTCAATTTCCTTCTTCGAGAACTCGCATTTTTCGGGTTTCAGCCAGAGTGTATGCTTGGATAGGACGTCAAGTACGCCATCAACAGCGCCTTCGTGATCTACTTTAGGCTTTGTATAAATCATAATGTCATCCAAGAAGGCCGCGGTGTCTTTACCTATACGTCCCAATAAGATATCTTGAATAAAGTATTGGAAATAACCAGGGGCGCCTGTTGGCCCAAAAGGCATAGTCAGAGGTGCAAACTGGCCTTGTTTGCATATAAAGGCCAGTTTATCCTCATCACCCTCTGCTACTCGAAGATTACCGTACGCATTGCGCATATCAAGCTTGGTAAAGTCTTCGGCATCCAGCAAACTGTCGACTAAGTCCATAGTCAACGGTAGTGGGTATTTGTTCTTGACGGTTAGGGTGTTGAGCTTACGGTAATCAAAACAAGGGCGCAGATTGCCGTCCTTCTTCCCTGTGAATAACACAGGGGCAGCCCATGGCGAAGTGGTTCGACGGATAGTCCCGTTGGCTAAGCCTGAATTCACCAATTCCTCCAAAGCAGCGTCCTCGGCTGGTGATAATGGAATTATCCTGCTAGCCTGCGGTTGAGCTCCTGGTATCAGTTCGACACGAAAGTCGTAGCGGCGTCTCGGGGGTAGGCGTTGGGCATTGGACTTCCTAAACATGTGTAAGTGCCTATGATACCTAGACGGGACAATTTCCTCTAGAGCTTTGACGGGTTCGAGTTTCTTTTTGTCGGCGGCGAGTCGTGCTGAGGTTGACCAGGACGTCTTGGCTGCTGTGACCTGGATTGATGTGTTATTCAAGGGAGAAACAGGCTTGCCAGCTGTTCGGGTTGAACATGGGTTGGAATCAGTAATAAACTCACATTGCGGGGGCGTTGATATATCTAAAAAGACATTAGCCCCCTCGTCACTGTTCCTTGCGTGCCCCTGAGGCTCCTCCTTGGGATCGTCGGGGTTCTGTGGCGGGACGGACGAGGCCGTATTCACTACGGCCGCAATGCTCGTATCCGGGTCTTGTGTCGTGATGTGTTCGTGGTTTTCGTTGTTCGTGGTGGGTGTAATCGTGATAAGGGGGGAACTATCGGGAGATAGAGGGTTGTCATCTGTTTCAAGGTGATTAGGATTAACTGGACTCTCGAACTCACATTGCGGGGATGCTAACGTGTCAGAATTGACACACATCCCCTCGTAATTGTGCCTAGCGTCCCTCATGGGGTCCAACGAGTGGCCAGATAAGGGTGTTTTCGGCCAATACGAAACCAATGAAGTGGTTGCAACGTGAGTCTCGGCTGGGTGTACCATACTTTTACTCCAGTCAATCAGGTGAAAGTTTTTCTTGATCCATGGCATGCCAAGTATGCCGTCGTACGAGTCTTTGAGTCTTGTAATGATGAATGGGGTCGGTAATGGGTCGGATTTGATAAAAAGGTGGGTCTTGAAGGAAGATCGGCTCTCAGAGCCGTCGAATCCAGTGATCAATTGGTCATGTCGATCAGCACCGGCTATCAAGCCAGCGTGGTAGGCAAATGATTCACTGAGCACATCGTGCGTAGCACCTGAATCAATGAGGAACGTAGCGGGAAATGTTTGGGACGGTGTGGCTCGGGGAATTTGGGATATGGATAATGTGGTGTGTAAAAAAATGCGCGGGTCGTTTGTATTGCACAAGTTCATTCTACTAGATCCCACATTAATTGATGACAAATTCTCCAGGTGGCTCAGGATGGGCACAACCTTCAATCCTGAGCTTCTCCATTTTTTGAAGTTTCAGCTCGTCCTACTCCTTCTAAACTACTGGTATGATTCACCCTCTGATTACTCAACTCTGCGACTTTAATTTCCAATCCAGCTATTTTTGATTGATAACCACCTCGACCCTTCCCTTTCCTACTAGCTCTACGATCGGGACATGCGCTGGAGATGTGACCCTGGCCATTGCAGCGGAAGCATAAACCCGCTCGCATACGTCGTGCTCGTTCCTCTTCGGACAATCTAACGTAGGCGGCTGATAAGTCCATGGCATTGGGGTCTGAGATTCCTGCACTCGTGCTTGGCGTATGGAAGGTTGGGTTGGTCGCGCCGTGTAATTTACTGTCTATCTTGATAGCTAAATTAGTGATTTGTTCAATTGACGTGAAATCCTCTTGCGTCATAACCATTGCCACTCTAATCTCCTTTTTCAAACCTTGCTCGTATTGACTAATGAGCGTCGGAGTTTCCCAGCCAGTAGAAGTTGCGTGAATGTTAAATTCATGGGTATACGCGGCCACGGTGGTCTTCTGCGATAAGTTTCGCAGCGCGCGTTCCGCCTTCGATTTCTTCTCAGTATCGAAATACATAGCTTTAAAATTTGTAACGAAGCGTTCAAAGGTTACGAGGTGGGCGGTAGCGGGGTCGAATAACTCCTTTGTCAAGGGTTGCGCCCAACTGCTGGCTGCTCCCGTGAGGTAAGACAGCGAGAAAACCACCTTACTTCGGTCGTCGGGGAAGAGGTAGGGGTGTGCCAGCATATAGAGCTGGACTTGACTCGCAAAGATCTCTGCGGGTTCGCCTCGAGCGCCGTTGAATTTATCGGGCGTCGAGACTTTGGGGCCCTTCAGGACCGGTTCAGCTGGTGGTGGCTGTGGCGCAGTGGGTGGTTGAGTGGCTGCAGCAGGTGCAGATGGGCCTCGGGATTCCAACGCCGCTAAACGAGCTTCGGACTGCTGGTATCTGGCTTCAGCTTGTCCTCGCATCAGGCGTTCTTCAGCCAATGAGGTGGAAAGCTCCGCAAGCTTGCGTTGTATGTCTTCGAGAGAGGTCATGTTGGTGTCAGACATATCGATCTCGCTACCGGTAAGGCTAGAATCGGCGTCGAGAAAAGGGATCGGAGTTTCACTATCAGAGTCCTCCTCCTCTAAAGGAGCACGGTAAGATGGAGACGTGGTTGCGTTTGCTAGTCCAGGGATCACAGTCGGGATCGACAGAGTTTTTAGTAAGTAAGATAAGGTTCTGGTGGATTCGGTTTCAGTGTATGCAGATTAGTTAATAAGGTTTTCGATTTCGAATAGTTTCTTGGGTCTTTTCAACTTTGAATTTCTGAGATCTATATAAGGTTTTCTAATGAGGTCGAGATTCGCTAGTATTCTGAATCTTGAGGTTCGGTTTTCTTTCGATTTAAGTCAATTCTACTTGTTTCTTCTTGGTGATCTATCTATAGTCCTTGAGTCTCGTCTATAGATCCGACAATATGTTATGGACAGACTTGGGGGTTTTCGGCGACGAGGGTCAAGGGAGTTCTGGTGAGGATTTGTATCTATTACCAGTCTTCCTATGTGGATTGTCGGATGAGGGAAAATCTGTACAGGCAATGTATCTACAACTATAAGATGGTTCTCGAGCTTGTGACATGTAATGTGAATATGTCACTCAAGTGAAATAGAACCAGTTCATAACAGGAGATCAAAACCAAAAAGAAAGGTCATTGGATGAAACACTTATGTATCAAGGTTTCAAGTTCATTCAAAGTCTTTTTGGAGAGTGGGTCAATTCATATTGTAAGAAATTCTATACCTATTCACTTAGAAAAGTTGACAATTTAGATGGAACTCAACCTGAGGTACTCATGAACTATCTTGCACATGTAAGTTGGGACCACATTCCAATAAAACACATGTGGGAGATATGGGAGAAGTGGTCAAGGGAATCCAAGTACCCTGGAAATCCATTCCTGCCCACTGAAACAGACTTTGTTCAACACCTGAAATACTCATTGATGAAAAAAGGACTTATAGAGGTTTCTAAAGAAGAAGCAAGATTCCTCAGACCATCACTAAGCTGTGAAGATGTGTCACAACAAGAGCTTCTGAAGCAACATGACATGCAATATTTCCGGATTTCAAGGTTTGCTCCGCACCAAAAAGCTTCAGACAGAAAAATATGTTTAATTGCCCTTCACTCAGGTAGATTACAACTGAAAATTTTGGAACATCATGAACCAGTGGCAGAATGGTTTGACAACCTAAGTCATAGTCTTCAAGAGCAATTGTATATCCTTGGACAAAATCATGAGTATCCAAGAGATGTAACAGAAACCATACATTATGTCAAGCGCCTTTACCTGAATCTTGTTCCAAGTTTCTTTGGGATTCTTAGGATGATTGAACAGGATTCATTCCCAATCAAAGCTTCACAACAAGACATATTGATAATGAATGCATGGAGATTCTTGAAAAACCATATTACCCAATGGAAGGACCATTATGTGAAAATGAATCCAACTCAAGAGTCTGTATCCACCCATCCAGAGAAGGCTTACCTTGTAAGCCATCAGCTTCTCAATAAAATTTTAAGATTGAAACAAGTAAAACATGTTGATTTGGAAGACCTCTTGGACTTATATGAGATATGGCGTCTCGAGTCCTTGAATGAAAATACTGTGGTATCACCTCACAGTAACAAAACATCATTGAAGGACAAACTCAAAAAATTCTATACACAAATGAGTCTAGAAGCATCCAATAAGCCTTCCATAATTTTTTGAGGGTTTCTTGAGGATATTCAATTAGTAGTATATGATTCAAGTGGAAATGACCTTTGAGATCTTCAAATCCAGATGAATATTAGGAATAATCTCAAAGTCATTCATTTTAAAAATTTGATATGAAATCTTGTGGAAACCTGTTTTGATTTTCATCTCATTGGTATATTCCTTTTCATGCTTGAGTTTCCACTTGTACATGATTATTTTCCTCTTTTCTTTGGTTGTTACTTGAGTAAAATCATTGTTACAAACAGTGAAATCTTGCTAAGCAAATTCATTGAGAATGTGAGAGTCTGCTCCCTTGTTACATCAAACCTGTTACCTAGGCACAAAAGACAAACTTTTCAAGGATATATCTTGTATAGCAGAAGCTGCAACTGTAGAATCAGCTGAACCTACTTTCAAATTGACAGGCTTGTCAGGGTTATTTGTCTCAAATTGAATGGTGATTCTTCCACTATTATATAAGTACACCACTCCACGGAAACTCTTGGTATTCCACATTCATTTATCTACATGTGCAGAGTGGTGCCAGTCACCAGGAAACTGGATGGTATCAGTGTCTTTTCAGCCATAGACGCATGTAACTGTTGCCATTACGTAAATAATCCATATCCCGCTATACACCTATTTTCTTGCCCACATTAACAGTCTTGTAGGGCTTGTGTTTCTGCTCAATCCATCTTCACAATCTGACCCCCCGAGTTTAGCAGACCTCTATGTATTGCTCTCATTGATACCTGTCAGAGTTTGATAGTTCAAGTATAATCTGATTTGATCTTGGGACGCTCGCTTATGTCACATGTTATCACTTATTCACTTACAGCCATTCCGGATTTGCTTGTTGCAATCTTTTGAAAAAAGAAAATATGAAAACTTGAAACCTAAGTCTTTTACCAGATAAAACCTTGAATTTGGCTGTAAAATCTCAAAGATTATACATCAGATTATCCCAAAACCCATACACCTTTGATGAATAAACTTTTGTAAAGTTTCAGCCACCTTCCGCTTTGAGCAACCAGCACTGAGCAGCAACCATTCAACCGCTGTCTACTTCACCAACTGTACAATTCAACAGCTGTACACCTGAAGCATGCCCTCATCAGTTCAACTAGCCATGCAGTAAGCACACCCTAGCACACCTGCAGCTCTTTAGTCTCCCTTGAGGCTGTCACTAAGTGAACTGATCACGTGTAGGACCCTGGAATGCACCGGTTGATGTGGGTGACGAGGACAGTCCCCTATATCATTATCAGGTTTGGGAAAAATCCTAAAAAGTCCCCTTTCTGGACACCCACATACGCCGGTTTTTGGCATTTTGACCCGGAAAAAACCCCTTTTCGGTCACCCACATCCAAAAAAAAAAAAAATTAAGAGGAGAAAAAAAAAAGGCTGTGGGAGCGTGCAGAAGTGCCAAATGTGCTTTCTGAGCAATGTATTTCAGTAATATAGGCCTAAACATTCATGTGTGATTGAGTGAGTTGTAAATAGTATCTACAAAAAGTGTTTCTTTAATTTAATCGGAAATTTCACCGTTGCTGGGCTGGGTTTTTAATTTAGCTAATTCATCATAGTATCGGTCAATCAACCTTTCAAGATGAACAGATCCAAGCATGTCGCGCATGACCGATGGAATAATATAGCAGCCTTGACCGACATCCTTGAAAGAAGAACCCTCAAAAACATATACTATGTCAGTAGCATCCAGGAGAGAATGAGTCAACTCATTGGATGACGAGTTTTGAGTTGGTGTTACAACTGGATAAAGGGGGTTGTAGAAGAGGACTTGTACTGCAATATGAGACAGACCTTTCCTTGCATCTGCACTGGTCACAAAAGCGTGTTTTTTGTTGACAAGCTTGTTGTCAGCCCCGAGCCCTATAGCTAGTACCAAAGGGCTGAAATATAATAATAAAATAATAAAAATAATACCTACAACTCATGGCTCAGTTTCAAGAGCCAATTACATATGAAATTACATATAGTTACATATGTAATGACATATGTAAGTACATGTAGATCAATACGAGAGATTACACGAAGTAATATAACCTTTTCACAAGGCTTATCACATGAGTAACACAAGAGTTACGCATGTGTGTAATAAATGTAATAATTAAATAATTAAAATATGATTACATACTGCAAAAGAGTATGTAATCCAACCACAAGTTGTGCGTAAGGGATTTTCTGGGTTGTGAGTATATAAAGAGCTCTCCCACCCGCCAGGAAAGTCCATGATCATCATTACATATCATCAAATTATCAGTAAACATCATCAATCAGATAAATAAGAGTCCTTGTCCTCTTTCATTAGACATTGTATATTTCTCTAATTGATCATTGCTTTTGTTATTTGTAGAAGTTCTTTTGAAGACTTCTTTCAGGAGGTGATCCTTGCAGTACTGCTCAAGTTCACAGTGTCCACCAAAAACGCGCCAGACGCCCGGTGAGGTTGAAAGTGCGTCAATTGTATGAAGTTTTTGCGTTTTCTGTAAAAGTGCGCCCGCCCTGAGCAGATCAAATGAGCCCAGCAAGGCTGGTGAAACCTTTGTCTCTGGACTACGAGAAGGGGCGGCCGTTTGATTACAGAAGCTGCACATGTCAATTTAAATTTATGTTCATTGAACCCATCAAAGGTTCAAAGAAAGGCCTGATGTTTAGAGGCCTGCTGAGTCCTTAAATCGAGAGCCTGCAACCTTAAAGTTACAGTTGTGGATCATTCTTGACCCGAGCGAATGAATTTGACAGACACTGGGTCTAGTTCATACCTGCCAGGCTGCACATACCCCCTTTTCACACAACCTTGTGGAGTGACACCAATTTGCTGGACTAAGACACAGCAGTGCACGTACCCAAAATGCGCGTACTGGATATGATGAGATGGCCACAAGGATCTAACTTACTTACATGATACATACAACAGGTACCAACACTACTCTATTGTGCGACCAGGATAAGCAGGATGGTTGAATTTGTACTGTGAATCAGCTTCCAGGAGTTTCACATCGGTTTGCCATGAAAAGCACTACAAACAGAATGTGAATGATTTTGGTCGCGCGAGGGGGACTCTGGCCCAAGATATACTTCTAATGAGCATTGATTCACAGATCATAAAACAGAGCTGACGAAGACTAGAAACTTGATTGAGCAATGAATCTCCTGGGTAGGTTGTTAATCATAAAAGGCAACAGAAGATACAAAGAGGAGAAATGTCATCAACTTGGTCCAGTGCTGAACAGAGCCAGCCGGATTCGGCGGGAAGAGAAATGGTTAAAGGATATGAAGGTCTTGTAAAACTTCCTCCAAATTCCCCGCCAAACTGTATCTTAACACTTTATCTCAACGACTCAGGGATGTTGAGCTCAGGCTGGAGTGATACCAAATCAGTTAATTGTGGCTGATCCTGGACCTTCCTGAACGTTACTGGAGGGAGACTGAGTTATCGCAAATTTTTGGGGACAAATTCTGCATGAATTCCGGACATTTGCTTGACAGAGAGCTCACCGGGCTTCCGGTGCATTTTTGTTGTACACTGTGGTTATTAAGGGAATTCAATAACTTGAGAAACTCTAAATTCACGGGAGTTCCTCTGTGTTCAGAGTTTAAAGAACTTTAAATATCACTAGGTGATATTTCCCTCGTTTAATAAACTCTAGAGTAGAGTGTTATTAGCTTGGGCACGAAACTAGACTGTAGTTTCTACTCTTATTCCTGCTAGAAGACTCCTGTCTTGCATTAATTCCCGGAGAGATATCCAAAACCCTTTGTTAAAAGGTCAATTAACTGAAGTCAGTGCTGATTTGATCACACTACTTCATTAATCACTTTGTTTAGAACCTTAAACAAAGATCTCACGCGCTTAACAAACCTAGTTTGTTAAGCAAACCTTATTCTTTAGTGTTTTACTAGCCCAAAAGAAGCTAGTAGCTCACAATTTGGGGGCCTCATCGTGTTTTTGAACCCTTTATATATTTTTTTGAGTTGTTATCTCATCTTATTATTTTATAAAAACATTAAAAACAAAAATATATCATTTTTATCTTATATCTAATTTTTTTTTTGACCTGTTTATCTTGAAAACTGAGTAAGCTCAGCATTTTTCAAAATCAGGAGAATAGGTTGGAGGAAAGAAATAAATCATTTCCCCCCTCCAATTTTTGCATATTTTTTTATTTTTTTTATTTTTTCATTTGTTTGGATCAACAGTTGATCCACTACATTTGAATTACATATTAAAAAGTGGTGTGTTGCATTGAGGAACACCTGTAAGCCACATTTGGTTTCTATTGTAATAAAGGCAACACGTGCCAATTACAATTACATCTACAGTACTGATCTGTGTACATACACACAGACCGTGCAGTACAAGCCCCGCGCGTGGTCTGAGAAGCCACAGCGGTACAGTATCAAGAGTCTTGAATTTGGAAATTCCCAAATTCCACAGCCCTCAACCCACACATACCCTCACTCGACCACGCAGGACGAGCGCCTCATACCCTCACTCGACCACGCAGGTCAAGCGCCTCATACCCTCACTCGACCACGCGGATCAAGAGCCTTATACACTCACTCGATCGAAGGGATTTAGTCGAATAGCATAGTTGAGGACTTATTGATTAAAGTTACAATTCCAGAATATATCTGAAATCTTTCTTTCTACTGTTACATTGTAGTGACAAAACTTTTCAAAATCTTTAGATTTCCCTTTGAAGAAGATCGATTCAACTATAAAATCACATTTATTTTATATTTTCAAACGGATCTTTTTTAGTTTACCTACGCTGAATACCCGGATACAGTACAGATTGAGTGCTCGACTGATTGTAAATCGAACAAGTATACAAAGAACCTGTCCAATATCTTTTTTGAAGATCTTTTTGTTGCGAATATCACTTCTTTCAAAAGTAAGCAACATAGGACCTCAATCAGTTGAATTCTATCAAACAAATAGATTATAAACTTACAGTTCGTTTATTTTGATTTTCTTCTTCTTAGTT